ATAGGGTGCAAACCTTAAAATTTAGGGTTTCTTAACCAGCCGCCAACTCGTCGAGTTGGTCCGAAAGGATGTGCGGCCCAAAAGCCTTCTAATATGTCGAGTTGAGGCCATCAACTCACCGAGTTCCAAGGGAAACGTTCTTTTAAAAGAATAAATCTCATACATGGGAATCAGGATGTTACAAAAAATGCACTAATGAACATAAAAATTGCACCGTATGCTTGACTCGATTTATAACCAACACCGAACCGATACAAAAACAAAATCGCATTCGAAAAATACAAAACCGAGTCATTGAAAAATCAAACCCACAGTTTTTAGAATGCAAATACCGCACCTTGCGGTTTGCGATTCAGATTGGATCTAAAACCACCACACTCGCCCCTATAACACTATATGGGTCTTTAACAAAAATACATATTATATGTTATCTATAATAAAAAAGAAACTAGTCATTGTCGTTAAATTGCAATATTGCCAACAGAAAATGACCGTTGGTTGCATGTTTTCTTGAATACGACATATAGTCGAAACGAAAATATCACATATTCCAGACATAAAAATGATTAACACATTAAAAAGCACACCGTAAAGCCTAAAAATTTAAGATTAAACATAAAATCATAAACCATAACAGTAAACTCTAAACCCAAAATCCAAATATCAAAACCCTACATTCTATATCCAAAATCATATACACAAAACCCTAAAACCTAATGGTAAATGCTAATTTTTCTGATATGTTACATATATATTTTTGGAATATGACATGTTTTCGAAAGGAAAATGATCGCCAAAACGAAAATTGTTCGCAACTAGCCAAAAGGAAAAAAGCATTACCAAAAGAACTAATCACCTCTATAAAACTAATTTTTGAAGAAAAAAATTATTCACACCCTTCGCTTGGAACGGGTAAACGGCTAGTGTGTGTGTGTGTATATATATATATATATATATATATTAATAAAAATTGGATTGAAAGTTTATTATGAGGATAATACGTCTACCAAAACGTTATGAGCTGACACCAAATGAGCAACCAGTTGTGTAGCAGTCTTATAGTGTCACCTGGATTGATCGAGAAGATTACCTAGATGGTATGGTAGGGTATCGTCTCCCACACCATCACCTTGACTTTCCCTTATATGTCAAATCAGATTTCACAACCATGTAAGTAGGTGTAACAAGATTCTGAGATGCATCCATCACCATCACCATCACAACCACCACCACAAACGGGACCATCATGTATTCTACTAGATGCGGTAGAGAAAAACACGTATAAGGAAAAAATCATGCCAGAGTTATAGTGGGAACCTCAAGAATGTAACATGTAGCTACTATTATCTCATAGTATTGTAGAATCACAACATATATCTTTATTTTAGGGCTACACGTAGGCCATGTCATATAGATACACACACAAACTACTCTCTCTCTCTCTCTCTCATACACACACAAACTGACATATATGTTTGGTGGTTTCCCTTAGTAAAGGACCAGGGTACACATATTAATAAGTTTACTATACAATATGAGGGTTCGTCATATGGTTTATAAGTATACATTCTATTCTATTTTATATGGTATACTCGTTATTGTTTTGTTAATTATTTAATAATATATAACCCTCAACCTTATATAGGGTGACAATGTTACCCTCGTACAACAAGCTACCTAAGAAGATGAAAGGTTGTTACATGATGATCAACATGTGCATATGTATTTCATGCACATGGATATTATACGGAGCGATGTACACTTACATGATTACAACGTCAATGAGCTTGCCCAATCAGATTACCAAAACATGTCATGGAAATACCTGTATATGTCCACCCCCTTTAGACGGTTGCATGGACAAAAGTATTTATATTATATATTAGAACTATGATGCATTGATATTATTTTCTCACTGTTATCTCGTATATAAAGTGGTAATGGAGTTTTGGATTAGGGGTGAGCAAAAACCGAACCGGAAACCAAAAAAACCGAAAAAAACGCATAAACAGAAACCGAAAAACCGAAAACGAAATGAAAACTGATGGTGTGGTTTTTAGTTTTGCAAAAACCGAAAATACTCGGTGCGGTGCGGTTTCTAGTCTCGCAAAAACTGCAAAAAACCGAACCGCACCGCATATATATATATATATATATATATATATATATATATATATATATATATATATATATATATATATATATATATATATATATATTCGCAAAAACTGCAAAAAACCGAACCGCACCGCATATATATATATATATATATATATATATATATATATATATATATATATATAGTAAGTGTTGATATTTGTAAGAACCAAAAACTTATGACAATTAAAATTTCTATAAATGTAAATATCAATCTTATATCGGAGGATGATTGTATATTTTTAAGCATATATTCAGTGGTATTTACAATAACAAATAATGTTTATGACATTTTTTTAACATTTAAATATGAAGAGTACTAGTGATATAGTATCATTTTTATGAATACATTAATTGATATTATCGTATGTACTTTTGAAACAAATATTATATTAAATTCGTATTATATTGAAACATTAGAAACATGTTGAATGAGTGGTTAAGTAATTTGATTTCAAACTAATAGGTTGTGGTATGGATTTATCTCCAATCAATGATTATCACTCCTCATTTGAGTCAAAGTAACTCGCTGAGTTACTTGAGTTTTAGTAAAAAGGCAAAACAGGAAAAAAACCACAAAAAAAACCGAATCGCAATGAAAAACCGAAAAAACCGAACCGCATAAAACCGAACGGTGCGGTTTCTAAATTTCAAAAAACCGAAGTTGCGGTTTTCGGTTCGGTTTTGGCCAAAAACCGCACCATGCTCACCCCTACTACATAGGGAAATTGACGATGGTTGGTTACCTTGTGACATAAATTTTCTATGTTTTTTATTTATTTATTTTTTTATCATTATACATTAAACATTTAGTTATATTATTTACTCTCTTTTGTGTATGTGTTGATCGACAACACATTACGCTCTAGGTATCATTGCTTATTGAGTGAAGGTCTGATGATGCTTATTAGAAAGTTGTACCATCAACTTTTAGAACCGATGTAAAAGATTGGTGTAAGCTAGTTGATGGAAGAAATTAATGTTCGTAAAACAGTAAAACAACCTGGTTTATAACTATGTGAGTCCGTATCTACAAAATCTTAATAACTATCTAGTATTGGGGTACCCAAACCACGAATGCAATCCATGTTGAGAGTTTAACACTTACACTTGTGAAGGCCATAAACGTACCACAACAATCCCAAGAGATAGGAGACTATGAGGTTTTTGTGTGTTGGTTGCTAGAGAGGTTTAACACTGAGCATCGAGGGTTGCACCACCAAAGGGGCCGATGCATAACATAGGCGATTTGCACGTATAGCATGGATACTAATCAAATGTAGCGGTCCATTTAGACATTTTTATTTTATTTTTTACCAAAGGGTTTTTAGCTTCGCGGTATCTAATGTTGCCCTCCCTCCTTGAGGTTGAGGGTTCAAGTCCCGTTGTGGACATAGGTGAATTTAAAGAGTAGTTTAGGAGTAGATTAGATTTGTGTTTTTTTAAAAGAATTAGACATTTTTTTAGTTAATATATGTGAATATTTGTTTTTAGTCTTCGTTTTTTGGTTAATATGATAAAACACGAGTTGGGTTATTTATAGTCATACAATTTGATTTGTTTATCAAACAACAATCTAATATCAAATAAGTTCTAAATGATACAGAAATGACTATTAATATAAATGATCATTAATAGAGATGAACATAAAAACATAAAATTGTTTATCTTATTTTTTTTAACTAAAATTTCGGATAGTCGTATGAGAATTTTGTTTTCTCCTTATGAACCCATGCTTTTATTCCATACATTTTCTCACATGTTTGTCAAAATTCATCATCTATAATATCGCAGTTACATTCAACTTTGTTATATGGTACTCAATGGCTTGGATTTATTTCTTCGCATCCACTATCCACTTTTTCTTGTCTTCAATGAGGAGCATAACTTCTTTAGCCCCCTCCCCCTCCCCTCTTAGCGGCTTGGATTTATTTCTCCGTATCCACTGTCCACTTTTTCTTGTCTTCTTTAGGGCCACAAGAGATTGTGCCCCCTCCTCCCAAATCAAAAATTTAAGCTTCACCACTGTCTTCATTGGCTCGTAATTTCTCATACATTTGTTGCCTAGTACCTTAGACTCCTCATCCAGTTTTTCGCACTCCGCCTTTTTGGCTTCTAACATCTTCATCTTAGACTCTAGCTCATTACTGTAGGTTGAAGAACGTCTAGCGTTGAGAAAGACTTATGACTAGTCGATAGACATTTTTAGAGAATGACTTACTGATTTTGGGGGTGAAATATGCTTTGATGGGCTTTTGGCGTGAATTATTTATTTAAATAGATTCTAAATATGAAGGTATGTAGGGAAATCTAATGTATTTAAGTGTTACATGTGTAATCATAAATAGTTTGGTGAGTTAAGGTATATAGGAGTTTGCTAGTTCAGCTTGTTATATTTGTAGGTGGCTAACGTTCAATTAACTTGTAAAAAAAATAGATTTTTACACATAAAATTACATTTAAACAGATATTTTGGAAATGTTTAGATCATTACTTGACTACTTTGAAATCCAACTCCTAAATTCGGGTTATGCTCCAGGAAATATGATGTGCCAAAAAAATTGGTTATTTTACAATAATCCAAAAAATGTGGTTAACTTAACTCGTTTATAAAAGTCATTTTAATTCATCTCCCTTTACTTTAAGATACCATTATTCGGTTAAAAACATCCTAATCGACCAAAAAGGAAAAAAGAAACAATAAATGATCAAACACAATGATGATGTAGGGACTTATGTTTTATTCATCCGAAAAGGAAAATACAATCGGGTACATACGAACAAGAACAATAAATGATCAAAGTCCCTGACATGTGCACAACTCATGGACAAAACTGCAAATAAATAAATTCACGACTTTCGTTTGGTCAAAATCCTCCAAGAAAAAGACGCCAACCAGAATCTCCAAACGTCAACGACAAAAGAACAAGTTCCTCTGCTTCTTTAGATAATCCAAAGATGAAATTCCCCTTCGAAATATTCTCTTTACTTTGCTGATTTCTCTGGGTTTTTGCTCTTTTCCAGTTAATCGCTCTTTTGTTTTTCGTATCATTTAACACACCAATCCCTGTCCATTTACAGTTATCGACGATTTGACAAACCCAGCAAAACAGTCTAAAATCTGGAAACACAAAACGGAAGATCTCTCTTCTTTTTGAATATTCATGGAACAGCTAATCAACTTTATCATTCGACCACCAAGGTTTGCTTTTTATCGACTGTTTCACTTCAAATCTGATGTGGGTTTTGTCAAAATTCGTTTTGGGTTTTTCGGATTGTAGAGAATCGTGGTTTTAATAGTTCCGGTTGAACAATCGGATTAACATATGTTTAAGCTGAAATTTGATGTTGTTAGCTTCAATTACTAGTTTTCATTAGGGTTTAATAACGACTCTCTGTTAATTGAAATGAAGATTTTTGTTTATTTATTTAGCATTGAGGATCTACGTAGTGAAATCTCTCTTTTTCTTCTGCAGAGCTGAGTATAACCCGAAGAATGATTTGCTTGATCCAGAGTTCATGCTTAAAGGAAAATGGTATCAACGGAAAGATTTGGAGGTATGATTTATTCCCATTTGTTTCATAGGACAGAAATAGCTTCCTAATTACATATATTTGTTTTTTAAAACATGTTACTTTAATTTTGTCTTATTATACTCGAGAAAAATCAATCTCATTGTAGCGATATCATTCAAATACAAAGCAAATTTCATTTCTTTAATTGTTTAACGTTATTTTCAGGTTATAAATAGCAAAGGAGATGTTCTTCAGTGTAGTCATTACATGCCAAATGTTCTCCCTGAAGGAAAGCCTCTGCCTTGTGTTATATACTGCCATGGCAACAGGTTAGTAATATATATGTCGCGTCTTAGACACATTTGATATTTATGCTCAAATGTAACATTTGTATATTTTGAGTTTTTTTTTTTTTTTTTTTTTTTTTTACTTATTCAATTTTATTTTTATGTACTTACTTGGTTATATTATATAATTTATATCAGTGGGAGTCGTGCAGATGCTAGTGAAGCAGCTATAATATTATTGCCATCAAATATTACAGTTTTCACCCTCGACTTTTCTGGATCTGGACTCTCTGAAGGAGAGCATGTCAGTCTAGGGTGGTATGAAGTAAGTTTTGTTTTTTTCACAAGGGTAAAATCGTCCTTTACTCCCATTCAGACAGACAGACTGACAGAAAGACGGTTGAATCAGTCCAAAAAAGTACAAACAAACATGGTTTTTAGTTAACATATCTATCCATACAACACTTAATGGAAAAGAAAAATAAGAAACATACACTTTAGATACTTAAATTAAACCTATTAGATATATAATCAAATTAATTTTTTTATTTGGGTATTTTCAGAAGCAAGATTTGAAAGCTGTGGTAGATCATTTGAGGGGTGATGGAAATGTTTCATTGATAGGCCTTTGGGGTCGATCTATGGGTGCTGTGACTAGGTATTTTAATTTTTTATATTCTTAAAGTTTTTTTTTTTTTTTTATTTTTTTTTTTAAATAAATATTTTTTGCAGTGTAACGAGGTAGATATAACATTCAGCTTCACCTTGTCTTGTTTATAGAATATATGCAGGCCATTTTTCCATTAGATTTGAATATTTTTAACGATTTAAATTTTAATGTAACAAACTACTATTTTTTACAATGTAATTAATTAGCATACATTTTTCTTGTTACAACATTGTAATTTAAATAATCTACCCTATTATAGCAATATTTATTGCTTCCTAGGTGGATTTTTCAATGTATAATGTTGTAATAAGAAAAAAAATTGAAACTACATTTCTATAATTGCATAAAGTTTTCAAAGTGCTAGTATGCTTTAATTCACAAATAACTGAAAGTGCATTATTGTTTCTTTCATTTAGCACTAATAAACATTTATAATAATAATAATTATTATTATTATTAAAATACTTTTTTTCCTGATTTGGGTTATTTACATAAAATGTTCATCTTTTTCAGCCTCATGTATGGATCTGAGGACCCTTCAATTGCAGGAATGGTTCTTGATAGTCCTTTTTCTGATTTAGTTGATTTAATGATGGAACTTGTGGATACCTACAAATATCGTCTCCCCAAGTTTACTGTATGGAAGCTTACTAAAAATCTTTAATAATTTTGAGTTTTTAATATGATTTTCTTTTATTTTTATTTATTCAATTATTTTTTTCAGATTAAGTTTGCTATCCAGTACATGCGGAAGGCTATTCTAAAAAAGGCAAAATTTGACATTGTGGAGTTGAACACCATAAAGGTTTGTTTTATTATTAAGGCTACATGTGTTACACACGAGGAGGGCATTCACGTCTTTTTCACAAGTCTGTTTTTTTTTTTTTTTTTTTTTTTTTTTTTTTTTTTTTTTTTTGTTGTTGTTGTTGTCATTTTAGGTTGCCAAGTCTTCCTTTGTTCCGGTTCTTTTTGGTCATGCAGTTGATGATGACTTTATACAACCACATCACTCCGATCGTATTTATGAGGCTTACATGGTATGTTACACACACACACACACACAAACACTATATTTGTGGCTATTTCAAATTGATACAATAGGAATTCATTTTATTATTACAAAAATGGCAACATGCGGTTTATTTTGTTACATTTTGCAGGGTGACAAAAATATCATCAAATTTGAGGGTGATCATAACTCTCCACGTCCTCAATTCTATTTTGATTCTATTAACATATTTTTCCACAATGTCTTGCAACCTCCGGAAGATGAAGTTAGGAGAAGCTTGATTGACACGTCACTAAGTTACTTAGACAAAGTATAAATATACTTAAATTATGCATTCATCAATATATTTCCTATATAATAATTCAAATCATATTTCTTGTTTATGTTGCCCCTAGGAATTCGACATGAGTGAGGATGAGGACAATCTTATATTTGCACCTCAAGGCATGCCATTTCTAATTTTTATTTTTTTATTTTATTTTATAGGAGTTGGTTTGGTATCATATGACATGACAAGACAAGACAAGACAGGACAAAACTGGACAAGACTAGGGCTATTTTTGATGATGAGGGCATTGATGTCCTTTTCATAGATGAGATGGTCCCACCTTTTTGGGCGGAACAAGAAATGCAATTTTTGTCCTGTTGACATTAGTAAAGTTTCAGTTCTAGTGCATGACAAATGCAGTACAACCTGTTGTGCTCTGTCTTATGTAACAAGTGGAGCCTTAAGGATTCTTTCCTTATATTTGTTTAATAACTGCATATTCAGCATCAAGTAGCACCGAAGAAGTCATTGATCAAGTTCGTCATAAAAGACCAATGAGCAAGATAGAGGTGCCTTGTGAAATGTCATCAACATATAAACAATGTAACGTAGAGGTATCTTTCTTGTTTCTAGTTAAATCATATCTATCTCACTCCATCTTTACAACAAAACTAGAAGAATTTGTGGGTATAATTTGCAATTTTTTATGACAATGGAGATATTGATACTTACTACTAAATACCATTGCATGCAGGAAGAAGAAAGTACAAAGGGGCATGTTTCATCATTGTCAAAAATGATTAATTTTGAGTTTTGTAACGGATCTTCTTACGAACACGATGACCTCACGTCAATAGATGATGATGAATATGTTGAGTATCCGCTTCATAATGTTGACGATATTCCATGCAACAAAGAGGAAGAAGAAAGGGTATGTATATGTATATATGAAAAGGGTAGTTACGTCTTTTGCACAGACAAATGGATCCAATGCAAATCCACCTCCCACCTTTTTGGTGGGATAAATACTATAATTTTTCCCATTGATATCGGTCTGATTCCAATGCATGTCAAACAATGCACAATTTGTTTTGTCATGTCTTGTCCTGAATGTCAGTTCTTTTATCAGTACAATGCAGGCTGTCATGTCTTGTCATTGTTTGTCCTATGTGTATATGCATTTTACAAATTCTAACCATATATTGGTTTTCATCTTGCTAAAAAACTTTAGATGCTCATGGAAGCTGTACTACTTTCTTTAAACCAAGATGCAACGCCTTTAGGTGATCAACAGCCTATAGACCCAACGGCTTGTAGAAGTGATGAGTCACCTTCTGAGGTCAAGTCTCGGTGCAATGCCACATCATCACCATCAAATGCAACTGCGTCTGTGGAAGATTCTGGAAGTAACAGTAGAACTTTTGCTGGTACTAAGGCCGCCAGCTCATCTGATGACATGGCTGATGGGATAAAAGCCACAGTGACAGTTGTGAAAAGTCCGTCTATTAGCATAATGGACAGTTTCTTACGTCGTTGGGATTTAAACTTTTTCAAAACCAGATAATCATATGTTATTATTGATTGATTTTGTGGCTTTTGATTTCATACATATTGAATATTAGGTGTTAACTTTGGTTCTTTTATGATTGTATTGAAACAAAATATCGTTTGTGTTTCTTGAGTCTAATTTCTTGATCTTAGAGGATATAACATAGCAGATTGTACTGTTTTTGGCGTACATTGAACAGGAAAATGAGACTAATAATGGTGTCCAGACTCTAAATAAATACAAAACTAATTAGTATAATGATCAAAGGTGACTTCATACCAAAAGGATCTATTTAGTAATAATCATTGTTAGCTAAAAGTAATTAACTTGTTAATAAGAAAAAAAAGGAAGATTGTTGGTGGGTAAATTGATGTCATTTGGCAAGTAAATTAGCTTTTAACTGTAAAAATTTGTAACAAGACAGCTAGGCTTGGTATGTGCAATTGTGTGATGTATATAGTTTTAATAAATTTATGTACAATTCTAAGAAACCTAAAAACACTAACTATTTAATTATCTTTAGCAATAAATCTAGAACTTGATAGTAATCATAGATTGAATTTTTCTTATTACTTCATACCCAAGCATGAAACATGAGAGGGATTATAAGGGAGTACAAGATTATAAAGATGGTAAACAGCCAAGCTAAATAAAAGGAAAAAATAAAGCAAATAAAAGATAAAAATATAAAAGATATCTTATGATATCGTTTCCAATACTCCCCCTCAAGATGGAGTATGGAGATTCGTAATGCCCATCTTGCCAAGAAGGAACTTAAGTCGGGGTGTGCCAAAACCTTTTGTGAGTAAATCTGCAATCTGTAGTTTGTTTGTCAATGGGCATATGTAGAATCTCTTTGGACTCAACTCTTTCACGAACAAAGAAACAGTCCATTTAAACATGTTTTGTCCTTTCATGGAACACTCGGTTATTGGCAATGTGTCAAGCAGCCTGGTTATCATAGAATAAAGGAATAGAGGAGTTGGAGTGCCTATGACAATTCCAAAATCCTATAGCAACCATCGAACCCATAATATTTTGCTAACAATAGAAGCCATAACTCTATATTCAACTTCTGTAGAGGATCGGGAGACAACTGATTGCTTCTTTGTTTTCCAAGAAATGGGAACACCTCCAAGAATAAGCAAGTAACCCGTCCTCGAGTGTCTCGTATAAGGACATCCAAGCCTGAGTCGCAAAAAGTAGTAAGAATCGGATCTGTGGCTTGAGGAAGTAGAATTCCTTGTCTTAGTGTACCCTTTAAGTATCTCATGACGCGATTGGCAGCTTCCATATGATTACGTCTTGGGTCAATGACAAACTAACTTAAAATATTGACAACATAAGTAATATCGGGGAGAGTGGCTTGGAGATAAAGTAAACATCGAATGAGCCGACGATATTGACCATCATCATGGGCTTCATTTTCTCCTTTGTCAAGGTGTAATTTTTGCTCAATTGGAAAGAACTTGGCCTGCATCCCATCTTTCCACTATCCTCAAGAATGTAAAGGATGTATTTTCTTTGACTTAGAACCAACCCATCATCAGTCTTCACAGCTTCAATGCTAAGAAAGTACTTTATAAGATCAAGATCTTTGATGCTGAATGTGTCATCAAGCTGAGTTTTGATATCTTGAATTCTTGAAAAATGATTTCTGACTATAATGACATCATCTACATAGATTAAAATTACGATAAATAACTCTTCTTTCCCGTATATAAACAAGGAGTGATCAGCTTTGGAAGGATGAAAATTAAGCTTACAAGAAAGGTGGCGAACTTGTGATACCAGTTTCAAGAAGCTTGCTCTAATCCATAGAGAGATTTTAGTAACCTTGATGGATTTTCATGTACACTTCTTCATCTATATCGCTATGAAGAAAGGCGTTATTTATGTCAATTTGTTGAATGGTCGAGTTCTTCTTTGTAGCAATAACCAAGAGAGTTCGTACCGTCACTAACTTTGCAACTGGTGCAAAAGTATCGTGATAATCAACACCTTCTTTCTGAGTGAACTCCTTTGCAACCAGTCGGGCCTTGTATCGTTCCACATATTTATTGGGTTTACATTTTATTTTATAAACCCATTTAGAGTCGATAGCACACTTCCCTTTGGGCAAATTTGTCAAGGTCTAATTTCGTTCCTTTTAAACCCTTCGATTTCTTGTTTCATGGCTTTTCGCCGATGTTCATCTTGAAATGTCTGCTTAAAAATTTTCATCTCAACATCGGAAACGATGGCCGTTAAAAAACTTTGTGATTATTAGAGAATTTTTCATATGAAATAATGTTGGATATAAGGTGTACCGTCAAGGCTTCTTGATCGGAGACAAGTTGCGTGTGATTGATCAAAGGGGGAAGTTTGATGAGATAATCATCAAAGAGCTTCGGTTGCGATATTTGTCTCTTATTTTTGATCTCGGCTTGATCCCGAAGCTCATTATCTTGCTTGAAGTTAACTTAGTTATCATGACAATCAGATTCCATTGTATTGGGTTCTTCATCATCATGTATTGTAGATTCTGACTCGTTTTGAACATGATCACCAGTGATGGTATCAATGTCATTGTGGTTTTGTTGGTTTTCATAATGTGTGGGTTCAACTGTCTGGGCTGGTTCATGATCTTCATGAAACACGCTACCATGAAGTTTTATGTGATCTTCATCTTCATAATTCTCATTGGTTTTGATGTTTTTGAAAGGGAATCTATCTTCACAAAACAAAACATCTCTACTTATTGTGATTCTTTTGTCTTGAACGTCATAAACTTTGTATCATTTGGTTCCTACAGGATAACCCAAAAATACACCTAGTCTTCCCTTTTCTTCAAACTTATCTCCTTTAAATACATATTTTTGAAGTAAACAAGACAACCAAAAATCGTCATATAACTATGTTTAGGTTTTTGATTCCAAACAATCTCATAAGGAGTCTTGTTTTTAATTACCTGGGAGGGGATACGATTTATTATATACGTAGCGGTGAGAATACATTCTCCCCAAAACCTTTTTGGTAGATTTTCTTCAAATATGAGAGCTCGAGCTATTTCCAGTAAATGACGATGCTTTCTTTCAACAATGTCATTTTGTTGTGGTGTGTGTGGGCAAGTTGTTTCTAACAAGATTCCATTATGATTGTAAAAGTCGATCATGGAATTAGATGTAAATTCTCCGCCATTGTCCCACCTAACCTTATTTATTTGTTTTCCAAATTGAATTTCAACCATTTTGTGAAAGTCAACAAGATATTTATTAGCATCGTTTTTATGTTTGAGGAGAAAAACCTATACAACCCGACTATTATCATCAACAATGGTGAGAAAATAACTAGCTTTTGTGAAAGATGGCACATGATATCCACCCAAAATGTTACAATGTATTAAATCAGATTTTACTTTATTTTAATCAAACTAATAGGAAAAGGTATTTGGGCAAGTTTTTTCCTTTGCACATGAATCACGCGTTTTACTAATATGTTCAATATAATTACTTTTTAAAAAAATTAAGTCTAGAAATCTTTCCTTTTGATACATGTCACGGTCTTTTGTGCCAAATATCCACAGTAGTCACCATCACTCTTCTTTCTTCCAACATCCCCATTCGATACAATCCACCATTCACATCTTCCCACTCCAATCAAGTTCCTCGTCAGTAACCCCTACATCACACAAAAATCAAGAAAGAAAGTTACATCACATTGAAGATCTTTGCTTAAGCGGATAACAAAAAGAAGATTTCATTTAAAATCAGGAACACAAAGAACTCCATTTACTTTAAGTCCCCCTGGGAGTGTGCAATTGCTCCTACCCTTCATGGGAATGTCATCTCCATTTGGCATGACAACGGATGGTTCACAGGAAAAAAATATTATTATTCATGAGGATTTTTGGAGAATGAGTTATATGTCCGATGCAACCCCAGTCAACAATAAATTCTCCTTCCACTCCTCTTTTACCTACCATGTTGGCGATGCGTCCTTTATTTTCGCATGTTCCAAAGAAGTTCTTAACAAACAACTGATATTTCTCATTAGTTAAGCCTTGTATGGGACTCGAGTCAGATTCGGTGCACTCTGGCTTCAGTTTGATCTTTTCTCCCTTCTTTCTGGGCCACCATTCTGGATACCCAACAAGCTGGAGGCATCCTTCATGTTTGTGACCATTCCTCCTGTAAAATGTACAATCCTCATTTTCTATTCCATCTTTCACATTATTTTAATAGCTTCTTTCTTTTCTTTGATTGACGGCATTGTAATCACACCTCTATGAAGTCTTGAACGCAACTGGTTCAAGTGGTGCTCTCTTGTCATTGGAAATAGCCCTTCGTCTCTCATCATCCACGACCATATGGTAGGCAAAGGAAGGTGTTCGTTTTGTTACCAAAATTTGAGTTTGGTCACAGTAAAATCAACATCCAAGCCCATAATGAACTTGTGCAACCATCGTTTTTCTTGGTATTACATCATCTTCTTGCTAATATCACAATCACATTTGTCATATGCACAATAAGGAAGGGGCTGAATTGACTGAGTTTCATCCCATAACGATTGAAGATTGGCGTAATAGGTTGATACAAATGTACCGTTTAGTCTGATACTAGCAATCTTTTGTTTCAATTCATGTGCACGAGGAGCATTTTCTTTGCCAAACCTCTAGAGAAGATCCATCCATATCTTTGACATGGTGCTTGCATATGTAACACTATTTCAAATGCTCTTCTCCATGGCGGTGGTAAGCCATCCTTTTATCGTTGCGTGACATCGTATCCAGGGCATGTAGTTGATGAATCCCTTTTCTGGTTTCTTAATGGTACTGTCAACAAACTCAAATTTGTTTTTGACAAAGAGAAAATTGTCCATCTCTTTTGACTGTAACATCCCAATCTTTAGGTATGAATTTAAAGCTTTATATATATATATATATATATATATATATATATATATATATATATATATATTAGGGCAACTCAACGAGTTGGGAGGTTCCGACTCGTCATGTAGAGTTATGATGGTCACGCATTTTTTAAAGATCTACTCGATGAGTTGGAAGGCCCCAACTCGATGACTTGAAGGCTGAATATGAAACCCTAATTTTTAGTGTTTTGCACCCTATTTAAAGACCTTATGACTCATTGTTGGCCTCCCTTATCATCCCCTCAATCCATAGAAACCCTAATCCATGCTTCATCTCTCATTTTGAGTGTGTGTGGGCTTGGAGTGTGATTT